AGATTATCGGGTCGATCTTCCTTATAGAGTTCTCCCTATATATCTTTCTTAAGTCTATCGAAGAAGAAAGATATTAATAGTTCTTAATCTTAGTTAAGCTTCGAGGTAAGCTAAAGGTACTTAATGCTATACTCCGATGCGGAGCGAGTTTATTATAGTACTTTAATCTCTCTTTCTGCCTAGGCTTTTTCGTCTATTATTCTAAAAGCTTACTAGAGTGCAGCCTCAAAGGCCTTAAAGTTAGAGTAAAGGTTTATAGTTCGGGGGGAGAGTTTAGCGAACGGTTTAATAAGGTATTCCTTTATAATAGGTTTAAACTAGGCCATAGCATATTTAGTAAATCGCCTAGCGGCATATTAGACCTTACTAGATACTATGGTGAACTATATAGGGTAATAGACTATAAAAGCGCATAGCTATATGAGGAATATAAGTAATTTATATACGGTTCTATCGAACTTCTCTAGGGGGTCTAGCTTTAGGATTTCTCCTATATCCTTACCTCGCGTGGCTATAATAGCTAGGTTAGTAAGGCTTTAGACTTTATTAAGGTACTATATATTCTAAATATATTAGGTTTCGCCTATCCTTTTAATAAGGTCATAGAGCCTATCTATCTTAGTGCTTATAGTAGTAATCTAGGCCTAGAGCTACTTAATTTCTTTATCGTTAGAGCTTTCTGCGTCGTTTATATCCTTATCCTCGGCGTTAGCCGGGGTAGGCACCACGGGTATAGGGGGATAATTAGCAGGTAGGACCTACTAATAGTTATTACTAGGAGTAGCCTAAGTAGCTATTATGTTTAATATTATTCAAAGTAACGCAAGTAATCCTCTAAATAAGAGCTATTAATATATAATAATTATAGGGTTCCTAAGGGATAAACTAGTTATACTAGGTTTATATTAGTAGAGAAGAATATTATATAGCCTTAAAGGTAGTATAAGTTATATCTAGTAATATACTTAAAGGTATTAAGTATAACTAAGTTATATTAATAGCTAAGGTAGTTAATATATAAGAGAGTATAATAAGTATATCTTATATACTATTTAGTCCCTTAAGTCAATTAAAGTCGAGTCGAGTCGAGTCGTCGATATTTGACTTATATCGTCGAGGGAAGTCGAACCGACTCTATTCGACTTATATACCTTCCTTCCTTATGATTGGCTAACGTGGTGGAGTCGATTTCCTGCCCAGCGTTACCGCCTTCGACCATGTCATGGCCGTGACACTACTGATGATTTAATTAGTCGTTATCCGCTATCTTCTATCCTCTCCGTGCTTAGTTAAATAGGGAAGGTATGCCTTTTATCCTCTCCCGTATTACTAGGATATCTATTAGATATATAGACTTATCTATATAGAAGGCCAGATATCTTATTTATCGCCCTATTCTGCGATTTGACGATGTTATTTATTGTATCTGGAATAGGATATACCTTATTAGATTAACGCCTGCGTGTGCTTAAAATGGTGATAGCATCTTTTATAATAATATTAATAGACAGGCAAGCAAGAGAAAACATCATCAAGGCTATGAAAATTTAATTAATAAGATCCACAATTTTCATCTCTGTAATCCACTAAACTTATCCTGTTATGCGTTTGAGATACATACCGTATATCTAATATATATTGGCTAATTTCTGTCTACTATGCCTGATATATCTAATAATAGTTAGCTAAACCCCGCTAACTAGATATAGCTATTAACTAGGGGCGGCTATAATAATTAATTATCGCTAATACTATATATAAGTATGCTATTAGAGAGGAAATATTTATTAGTTAGCTTACCCCGAGGAATAGGGCTTATATCTTAGATTAGGAAGAAAGACTATTCTTAGAGGGTATTTTAGGATTATTATAAGTAAGAGCGCTTAGTATATCTTAAAGCTATATTAATCTTAAGAGTAATATAATAGAGGAGTTTAAGTTAGATCTATTTATAGATAGTAGGTATATTAACTAATAATTATCCTTATTAGCTAATACTCTAAATATCTTTTAGGCCTTATATATATAATATAAGAGATATTAGGTATTAGCGCCCTAATAATTCCCTTAAGGCTCTTAGGCGAGTAAATAATTAAATTAAAGCTAAGGTAAGTTTAAACTTTAATAATTTATCTTAGTTTAATATAAAGAAAGGGGTTTTATCTCGAGGTTAATAATATATCTGCGTTAATTATATTAGCTCTCGATATATCTTAGGCTATAGTATTATTAATTAACGGAGAAATCTATATATTTATATCCCTATGAAGCTATAAAGCTATTATTATTATTACTTATCTATAGAATTATTTATTATACTTTATTATCCCTACTTAGATATATCTCTTTAAAGATTAGCTAATAATAATAAATAGAAAGGCTAATAGCTAAGAGCTTTAAATATTAGCTATAAATAAGGTAAAGAATAGATTAATTTAATTAATAAGAAAGGGCAAAAGAGGCGATATAGATGCCTAGATTAAGATATATTTATAAATACTTATTTTAATATTATCTATCCCCGCTAAGAGGTAAGATCTTACCTAAGACCTATTAAATAAGAAGTTAGTATAATTATTTAGAGGCCTTAGGTATTAGGTTTTTATTATTTATTAGATTTTATTTACTTTAATATATATTATAAACTTAGTAGCTTTAATATTTATTTTTATCCTTAGGCCTAGATTATAATAATTAGGGATATTAGCTATTATTAATTTTATAATAGCTATTCTCGCGCGCTAAGACTTAATTATTAATATTCTATTTATTATTGCCTATTTAATTCCTAAGTAAGCTTTACTCTAGATTCGCGCTTATTATGCTAAGATATATTACTTAGGCGGTATTTACTTAGGAGTAGGTTTTTATGCGGGTATATAGCTTATTATCTCGACTATTAAGGATATAATCTATAAGAGAACTTATTATAATAGATAATAGATTAAGTTTATTGCGAGGTAGGCGATATTATAGCTTCTCTATGGGGTATTCTATTTATTAATTAGTCTTACTTAGCCCTTATTCTAAAAGCGATATTATAATATATTTAAATAATTCTATCGATTTATGGGATAGGCTTTATTAGCCCTATTCTAGATATATATAATATTAGGTATTAATAATGCCTAGCCCTATAGTTAGGCCCTTAGCTTTATAATAATTAAGTATTCCTAATTTTAGCTCTTAGTAGCTATAATATATAGTATTGCCTCTTTATAGCTATCTCTCTATAAGGTCCCTATTAATACCGAGGTTCTCTTTAATTATATAATATAGCTATACTTTAACTATACCGTCCCGGTAAATAAAAGCTTTATATAGGTCTCTTAGAGACCTCTCTTAGAATAGTACTTATTCGCGATGATTATTGCCCTGGAGGCTTCTAGTAATTCTAAGGGGTTTTCTATTATTATTTCTAACGTAGGCAATTAGACCTATGCCTATATTTGAAAATTACCTATAAAGCTTTAGGTATATAGTATTCTAATATTTAGATTAATATATATCGCGATATTCTTTAATTGCCTTATATATATCGCTATAGGGTTAGGGATCGGGCTATTACTTAGATATATTAATTATCTAAGTTATTCTATATAACTTATCTAATTGGTATTATGGCTAGAAATAACTTTTAGAAGGGAGATAATTAACCTTATATAAAAGAAGATTCTAGATATTATTATTTATAATATAAAAATCTATAGATAGCTAGACCTTATCCGCATAGGTTTAAACCTAGTATTAAACTTTGGCGCTAAGGCTATAATTATTATCGCTAATAAGAAAATTACTAAGAAGGTTATCTATAAGATTAAGTCCTAGGGGCTTCTAGTATATAAAGCTATCTAGGATAGCTAAGGCGATCTCTTATTCTTATTGGAATCTTAGAGGTAGCTAATATCTAGGATCCGGGGCAGAAATAGCGATAATAATTAGCGACCTTTCTCTTGGTGTATCTTATTAAGCGCGCTTAGTCTTATTTTTCTATTCTCCCTTATTCCGGGTTTATGCCTGCCCGAGCTAATAGGAGGTAGACTAGGGACTGGTATAATACTTATATCTATTGGTAAGCTAATATTCTTATCGCAGAGGAAAGTCTCAAGTCTTGTGCACTAGAACGATAAATAGTCTATCATATTTGGAGTAAGAGGATAAGAATTTAACCTCTGCACCGCAGTTAGAGCGTACCTTTGAGCCGCGCTTTAGTTCGATTTGATTATTAGCAGCTTCATTCCTTTATATCTTAAGGTTCTCGTAGCAAAGCAATGGGTGGATACGCTCTTTGCCTTCTTCGGTACCGCGACAGCACTTAGGGTAAACTGCCGATCATAAAGCACAAATTTGATTTAGACCATATTCGGGAGAGTTCATTCTTTAGGCTAAGGTATCTAAGCCACTCTGCTTGACTTGATTTGGGTCGCCGGTTTAGGATATAACGGCTGAATGGCGTGCTTGTGATATTCTGATGGGCCAGCTCGTTTAACTACTATGCGGAATATAGCTCGCTGAACTTTACGTCTTTATGTTGTTTAGACTTATCAAGTGCTTTCCATTCTGCTTTATTCTCCTGCCAACAATAAATCAAATGGCCGATGTGAGCCCGATCCGCTTCTAAGGCATACCGACGATTGCTGACAGGCTTAACTATAGCCAAAACGGTCTCTAGGCGTATCCAGAAGTGATAATTATTGACAGACTCCAGCACCTTTGGGAGAAGGTCGAGAGAGCCAGAGGCCACTACCTCGAAAATTCCATACTGGCAGGTACGAAGTGCCCGACTGGATTTAGCAGGTCGGTCCTAGGGGACTGCCGCTTGGGCGTGCGGGTATATTTATTGGCGGAATTGTTAAGGTGGCCGGTCTAACCAACATATGGCGGGACTCACTAGCAAAGCCTCACCTTTACCATAACTTTAAAGGGCTCCGCGTTGCCATAAGAGCCTGCATCAACTCCTTAAACACCAATCCCGCCAGACAGCATCATTCGACGACAACATGAGCTCGTACGAATCGATCGAGGATATGCTAAGTGGGTTCAATTGGCTCAATAAGGGCACCGTCAGCAGTCTATCTAGGGCCCAGTCAGTCATCGCTGAAGAGCACCGTGATCAGATGTTCTAGAAATATTCCTTTAAAGATCTCATCGTCAACCAGGCGACCACTGCTAGTCGTACCAGACAGTCATCCACCGGATGCTATACTGCCAGGGTGATGCCGGATATGGAGGTGTGGGTTCTGCCTAGGGGTGGATGCCCTGTTCTTTTGTGTGTTAGAATAGGGAATATATAATAATTGGACTGTGTTAGGCTCATGGCATGAAGAATGAGGAGCTACTCGAAACCGACCTATATCTACCTCGCTTCATTTCGTCGATAGTATCGCACCTACCACGTCATATGGATACTCGAATCGTTACTTATGTTATTCAACGCATCAGGAGACTCACCTAAGGGCTCGAGATGACAGAGAAAACGGGCTGCTTATTATCGCAACTATGGATGTCGTCTGGCGAGATACGAACAAGGCTCCCCATGTCTGCCAGCACTGCGTACGAAAGATTCATACTGTTTGCCAAGTGTTCACCCTTTCCAATGTGCTAAGAACAGCGGTCCAGAAATCCTACTTTCCAGGTCTGACCAATGGCCTAAGACTAAAATAGCAGATAAGAAACCCTTCTTTTATTTTATTTTTTTTATTATGACTAGACTGGCTTACGGCTTGGCGTTGAAGCTTGGAAGCTTAGTTGGGACCAATCAACTCTGCCATTAATCACCCTTTGCAGACATCTTCCTCTGGACTATTACGTGCGAATAATGCTTGCTCTTCTCACCTTCCTTGTCCACAATGATTGTTCTGCCCTATATTACATCAGATTTTCATGATCGATTGTCCTACGCAAGATGGTTGGGTAATGCGATATATCCATTATAGCATTGCCGGATTGCCCAGCAAAAGTGAATGCGCACTCCGCTTGTGGCTCGTATAGTTCGGAGGCAAAGAGTACAACGTATCTTAGTTAGTTATAGTATATATCAATAGCAATAGAAGGCTCTAAAGGAGGAGAAGAGGAGATAGCTAGTAAAAGCTAATGCGATTATTATTTTCCCCGCCCTTATAGTCAAAGTAAGAGCGCATAGGGGCATTAAATAAAGGAAACTAAGTAGGCCTAGGCGATTAAGGAAGCTAAGGGAATAAATAAAGTTAGAGAGGCTTAGGTTTAGCTTTTATTCGAAGATTAGGTATTAACTTCTTAGTTAATATAGGGTAATATTCTAAGTTAGGTATAAAAAGGTAGCTAATAGATTGACTTATCTTTAAGCTAATATAGACTAGGCTTTAATAATATAAAGCTTTAGGCTTATTCTTAGGAGTTATTATTAGATTTCTAAAGGAATTTATCTTAGTATTAGACTTAAGAGATATTTTTATTAGTTTATAGCTATAAATAATAAGTATAAAGGGGGGCTCTTAAGATATTATAATAGGTCGATAGATAAGAGTATTAGCTATATAGGAAGTTTTTAAGGATATTTTAGGTCGAAAGTCCTTTAATAAGGATAGCTAAGAGGGTATAAGAGTATTTTTATCCCTATTATATCTTATTAATATTAAGAAAGGAGCTAATCCTCGAGGGCTTATAACTAAAGGCTAGGTAACCTTAGATCTAATATATATAATAATATTATTAGGGGAAGAAAGAAATTACTAACTTTAAGAGTCTATAATAGAGTTTTAAATAAGAGAGTTCTTAGTAAACTATCTAAGGGGTTTATAAATAAATTCCTTAATAAGCTCTTTATTCTTCTTAGATAGCTTATTATAGAACTTAGCGATATATTAAAGGGTATATATAATAGCGGCGGCATAAGAGTAAGGTAGTCGCTAGGGAGAATATATCTCCCGAGGGAACCGCGATAAAGTTATAAGGGAGGTTATCCTTAGAGGCATAGTAATAGGCTTTAAGAAAGCTAAGTAGGCTATCCCGGCCTTTTAGGCCTAGGATTAAGTATTTTAGAAGTTCTATATAGGGACCTAAGGATTATTAATTACTTAGGATACTTATTGCGATGCTTATTAGGGTTAAACTTATATAGGGATTTTAGGTAGTAGTTTACTTAGGGGTAATAATAATAATTCTAGTAATTAAATCTTAGAAGGGGATAATAAGGCTAGGTATTACTTTTTCTAGAGGAGGGCCTTAATATCTTTATTATTTTCTCTAGGGCTAGGCCTTAAGAAAATATCTAAGATCTTATTATAGGCTTAGTAATATTAATAATAGTCCTTATAAGAAGATTCTAATTCGGTTTAGCTATAATAGAATTTAATTAAATAGTAACTTAATTTACTTAATACCTTACCCTTAGGTTTAAAATATTAATTAGGGCTACTTTATAAGCCCCTTTCGCTATATAGGTATATATTATTGCCCTTAAATAAATACTTATAGACTAGCTTTAGATTAAATAATTAGCTTAATTACTTAATAAGGCTACTTATATTAAGAAGGTAATAAAGAGAGTCTAGGTATAGATTAAGATAAGGTAATAGCTAATATCTATATAAGTAGTAGTTTAATTTAAGGGGATTAGCTTATATTTAGGAATTAAGGGCGATATTATATATTGCCCCTTAAGTGCTAAATAGAGATAAGGCTAACTAAGTGCTTCTATAATATAGCTAGTCTAGGATAATATATATATATAGTATTAATATATATATAATTTATTTAGGCTAATTAAGAGAACCCCTTAAGTAAGAGAGTTATATAGAGAGGGGTATTCCTATTTAGATAGCTTATATTCGCTATTATCGCTTTTACTAAAAACGTAGCTATAATTGAATATTTAATTGCCTTAGACTCTCGGTCTAGGAATAAGAGGTACCCTTATTAGTTAAGTAATATATACCTCGTAGATTAATATATAGATTTGCGGGGTAGGTTATCTAAGTATAAGTACTTATTTAAACTATGATATATTACTTAAGCATAATTGATCTAGCTATAATATACCTATTATATAAGCGGCCTTTATAAGGGTTATAAAATAAAGATATTAAGAAATTATAGCTTAAAGCGCACCTAGAGGCGAGTAAAGGGAAAGAAAAAGGTTAAGGAAAGTAAGTATATAGTATAGAAATAGGCGAGGTATATCTAAGTAAAGTAAGAGAGATAAGAAGTATACTATATATTTAACTATTAATCTACTCTTATTAGCGCGCCGAATAGGAAATATACTTTAACCGAGGTAATATATCTTAATTACTTTAATTAATCTCGGCGAGATAAATCCTTATTAATTAGCTATTATTAGGTATTATTTAGCTATCTAGAGCGCTAGTGGCCTTATTATGCCTATTAAACCCTAGTATAATAAGGATCTCTTAGGTATATATTAAAAGGGTATTAATCGATTAGCTCTATAGCCTAGAGTTTAGATAGGGCATAGGCTAGTAATAAATCCTATATAACAGAGGTAGCTATTAGAAAGTGCGATAAATCTAAAAATAGTACGAGATATAGCTCTTGAATTAGATATTTTAAGTATAATCCGCTATATCCCTAGGACTATTTCGGAAATGGGATAATAATAATTACTATATTATAATGCTTAGGGTCTATATAGTAATTTTTTAATAAGGCTATAGGCGGGGTAAGTTAGTTAGCCTAGTTCTTTATCCCATCCGTCGATTAGGCGTAGTATTCTAGGCCCGGTTCTTTAGGGTCTATGCTTTCCCTAGGGTAGAGGGATAGCCTAAGGGTTCGCTATATATTCTAGTAAAAAGTAAGGCTATTACTTAAAGTTATAAGGTAAAACTAGTAATTACCCCTTAGCTTATATGCTATTAATATTAAGCTTAGTTCCCCTTTTATTTAGTATTTAACTAGGAGCTATAATTTATTACTTATTATAATTAATAGTCTACTTAGCCTTCTCCCCTCTCTTATTCTTTCTAGGCCTTTATATATATATATCTATATATAAGTCTATCTCTTAACTTACCTATACTTAGCTTTCCTCCCCGCTAAAGTTATCTATAAAGTGCTAATAGAGATTAATATATTTAAAGGGTCTTAGTAATTAATTAGAGAGTAGAGGGATTAATAAGAAGATTATATATTTAATTATAATAGTAATAGTAAGTAAACTTATAACTTATAGGTATATTAATTTAAGTATTTATACTTAAAACGCGCCCTATTTTAACTTTTCCTCTAATTATAGCCTATAGATTTCTACCCCCGTTTAGAAGCTTAAAACGGGGCGTATTTCTATGCATAGGTATTTAACTATAGCCTAAAACGCGTCGTATTTTCCCTTCTAATAGCCCGTGCTATACCTATAGAGTAAAATTAATTAAGCCCTTAATAAAGGAGGATAGTATGTGATTATTACTCTTAATATTATAATAGATTTATATAGCTCTCCTTATATAGAATACTTTGCTATTACTTAGACTCTCTACTCGACTAATAGTAATACTAACTAATAAGTGTTATACCTATACTAGGCCTAGTACCTAATTATCGCCGAGCTAACTTATAAAGCTCGGCCGACTTAACTTATACTTTAACTCGCCTAAGCCTACTATTATTTATAAGGGATATAGGTATATAATAATAGTAGATAAAGATTATATATCTAGGCACCTTAGCGAGATTTATTAGTTTAATAAACTAGCCCGTAGAGGCCTAAATAAGCTTATTTGCTCGCTAAATCTTCCCGATATTAAGGACCTTTATCCGCGGCCTAATAGTAATATTCTTTATCCTTATCTAAAAGCTATAAATAATTTAGCTTATAAGCTTTATAGTATTTAATCTACCTTGCCGTTATAGGAGCTTATTATTAGCTTTTTAGCTAATAGTGCTTATATTTTACTAGAGGGGCTTAATGTACCTTTATTAAGATAAGCGAGGTAGTTATAAGATAGCTTATAATATAATTTAACTATAGATATTAATAGGAATAAAAGGCATTAAGGACCTATTATAAACCTTAAGAGAATAAAAGGGGCATAATAATAGATACTTAAGGGTATTCTTTATAATACTAGACGAGAATAAACTACTATGGCCCGCCGGGGTTATAGTGCTAAGGATAAAGTAATAAGGTCTCTATTTAATATACTAGGAATATTATATTAGAGGTTTTAATAGACTAGCATAGAATACTCCTAAGCTAATATTAATAGCCCTATATAGTTTTTATATTAATAGCGCTATATTTATGCCCCCCTTTAGATAACGGTATATATAGATATATATAAGCCTATATAGACTATTAATCTCCCTTAACCTAGGCCTGGCTAAGTGGCGAGGTAGGCTAAATTATAAAATATATTAAAGAAGCTAGCCTTAGAGGCAGTTTGAAAAAGTAGTTTTATATTGGAGCCTTCGCTTGTGTCGTTAAGAATCTTGGATCTGTGGGAGTGCTAGAGCGCGAAATTTACCTGGAAGGTCCGTAGAATCGATTGTAAAATCTAGGGGGCTATTAGGGTAGACGTAGGTGCAAAGTTCTAAAAAGACTATAGTTAGTTAGTAATCTATTTCCCCTGATTAAGAAAAGGGAAATACTCTTACCTTTGATAAGTTCCGTAAGGCTTATGGGAGCCTCCGATGGCGGGTATATAATGCTGGTTGAAGGCTTTGTGTCTGAATAACGAGGTACTAGTAACATAGTGCCTTGCCTGAAATAAGGCGGTGAGACTGTAGATAGCTTAGAGATTGGATGTTAAGAGACTCTAGTACTGGTGGCTTAGCTGAAGAGGCATGAACTTATGAATATAAGAAGACCATTACCCTTGAGGTACGTATATATAGGTTTAAGAAGGGGAAAGAGACAAGTTCTGTGCTTAGAATAGCTAGTCTAAGTAGTCCTTTTTTTTTTTTTTCTCTCTCTGGTTGGCTGGGAGGCATAGCCTGTGGTTGAATACCGCTATTTAAGTAGGTGTTGGGGAAGATGAAGTGATAAGGCTCTGCGAGGTAGATAGTATATGGCATGGCCGCACGATGCGGGGCAGCATATCGGTTGTTTACTCCTTGTATCTACGCTAGTTGTGGCGTTATTGTTACTTTTTATGGGCAAATACTATCGATCTGGTCCTCTGTAAATTAGCGGTAGGTCGATATTGAAACTTAGCAGCGAGGATTCTTGTGCTTTTCTTACTTGCCGTCCCCGCGGTTAATCTGTAGGTTAGAGTAAGAGTAGTGACTAGGATTGCTATTTTTAGATAATTATGTTTAATATACTTGATAAGCGAGTGTCTTAGATAAGCGAGTATCCTAAAATACCCTATAGTGAAATTTCTACTTAATTAAAATTTTCTTTAAAAAGTTCTAAAATATTTAGTTTAAATCCTATTAAGCTAGAATTTAGTATCTTATTTTTATTTAAGCTAAGGTATATAGAAATATTTTTTAAAAATTATTTAAAAATCACTTATAGGGTAGTTTAGAAAAAAATATTCGCACTGTATATATTGCTATTTCTCTATAAAGGGGATTTTTTAAAAAATTTAAAAAAATCACTTTTAGATTAAGTAAAGAGTTAGATTTATAAAAATACTTATTCCAAGCTTTTAGCTATTTTATAGCAGTTTTTAGAGATTTAAGGTTTATAGTTTTTAGGTGCACAGTATAGCTAGGACACTCGCTTGTCTAAGACACTCGCTTATTAAGTACGTTAATGCAATATTTTTTTTCCCCACGTAATCAATGCCTATAGCCCTTGCTCGCTGCGCTGGCTTAGCTCTGCCGGAGCGAGTTATTTTAACTCTAGAGATCTACTCTAGGCTAAGGATCTAATACTTATTACTACGGTCGCGCTTAGATTATAGTATAATATAGCTAGGCTCTTATTTTTTGCTATTAAATAATATTAAGAATACTTAATATAGTGATGAAAATGGATTGGGCCTGCTTTTAACCCTTAGTACCCCCTGCTCTGAAAATGCCTTTATTGACCGCGAGCTGCCCCTTAATCCGCGAGGCCATATATCTTACTAATAGTAATCCCTAGGTTATTATAGGGCATAAATGTGGTCGCACTATGTAAAAGACTGAAGGATAGAGAAGATATAGTCTTCAAAGACTATAGGGTAGATAACTTGGATAGGAGGTGAATAGGCAGAGGAATCAGTCTTTATATATAGTTGAGAGACTAGATAAGAAGACATATAGGGTAGGCAAAGTAAGAAGGAAGATAGATAAGGTTAATAAGAAGAAACCAGCTTCTTATTAGTATTATATTGGTTGAATAGGTTTAAGATCTAAGGAACTAATTCTAAGAGAGGGCTTATAGCTTATATAGAGGATTACTCGGAATCTATTAGCCCGATTCGGATTAAAGTTATACCGTCGGAAAGCCCGAATTCTGGGTTTTAAAACGCAGTTGGTTTTACTAGTAACGGATAACTAGAAGCCGAGTTATGGCATAATAGAGATTAAAACCTATAGGGTTTTAAACTAGGATTTTTAAAACCAGATAGGAAATACCCTATGGAGGGACACGGATTTAACGGCATTAACGGGCTTTTAATAAAGTCCTAAGTCCGAGATCACGTGACCTTCCTAAAAGGGAAATAAGCCCAGAAAGGGCAATATTGACACTCCCTTATATCTTGCTTATCTAAGCAGATATAGCTTAGGTAAGCAATCTATAGGAAAGCGCATAAGCTAAAGTATAGGGTAATAAAATCCTAGGCTTATATCTTATAAGCTTATTTTTCTAGAATTTTATTTATAAAAGACCTTTTAATATAAGGACTTTTACACACTACCTAATAGTATCCTTAGATTAGTATGTATAGGCCGGGCCGCTTTATCTAGGTTGCCGCAGAGGTTTATTAAAGAGCTGTTACTAGGCATCGACCCGTTATTATATTACTTAGTTCTGCTATGTTAAATATTTTATAAGCCTAACGTAATTATTAGTCCGGTGTAGAGCTAGGTTTTCTATGCTATCTATGAGTCTAAGAGGCAATTGGCTCTAATAGGAGTACTCTAGCTTAGGCATAGGCCCTTAGGGAAAATCTCGCGGCGGATATATTAGATTTTACTTATAGGAATACTCTTTATAGTTAAAAATAATATCTTAATAACCTCCTAAAGGCCATAGGCCTAAATTAAGTTATTATTTTTAACTATAGATGTCTTATTAAGTAATAGATCTACTAGGATTTATAGTATTTTCTAAGCTCTCCTTATAGTAATTACTCCTTTTAGCCGGATAGTATGGCCTAAATCGGTAGCTTAGTTAATAGTATAGCGCTAGTTAAATAATAAGGCTTAGCCTAGACCGGATTAGGCACTAGAGTATTATTGCCCCCTCTTTTAGACCTTATTTCTAGTACTCCGGTTACTGGGGAATAAGACGTGTTATTTATGGTTAATTACTTAGGAACTTCCGCTTACTTCTATAGCTTGACTCTAAATCGGCTGTGGCTTAATAGTCTGAAGCCCCCTTTAGATGACTGCGGATGGACCCCGCTTTTAAGCTGTGTTTGCCTCTCTCTTTTAGAGTAAGGCAAGCCACTAGTATTAGGGGGTGCTATAAAACTCTAGGCTATGAATCACTGTGTAAATTCTTTTGCCAGCCTGATTATTTTATGTGTTTATCGCTTTAGCTAATAGCTTGAGGGAGAACTGGGAAATGGCTAGTAGCGAAGTAGTTGGCTTAGTACTAATGCTATAGCGCCCTTATCTCGGCAAATGCGCCCTCCCTGACCTATTCCTAAGGTTGCTTGATTTTGCTAGGACTTAGGTGACTATACTAAGCTTGTGGCTACCTAAGGTGTACTTACTAATTATTTAATAATAAGGCCTAATCGCCTCGGTTGCCTCGAGTCGGGGGTCCCGGATGGTGAATATTGACGGATGGAAGCCCTATCTCTGCCGGCCGGCTCGAGTTATATCTTATCGTAATGGTATCCCTGGCCTAGTGTTAATAATATATATCTCTTTTAAAATTAATAGGGAATTTATTAATATCTTTAAAATATTTTATATAGTGTTTTAGCCGTAAATACTTTATTAAATAAACTTTTTATGCCCCTTTGTCCCATCGGGATAATCGGGGTTATATAGGGAGTAGTATAGCTTGGGGGTCTTTATTTACTCTTAGGATAGGAACGTAGAGTGGTTATCCTAGTTAATTATAGTGATAGGAAG